TCATATCTTCCACCGTGCATCAATAATGAGGTCACTGTCAAGAATTAATGCCCATGCTGGTGTGCAGTAAGTGGATTAGTGTGTGTGTGTGTGTGTGTGTGTGTGTGTGTGTGTGTGTGTGTGTGTGTGCACGTGTGTTTGCGAATCACCATAACGCTGTGACACATTTTTACCAGTATCTCTCTTAATTTCCCACATTGAACAACACAATAAGATAAAAGTGTGTGTGTGTGTGTATGTGTGTGTATATGTGTGTGTGTATGTGTGTATGTGTGCGTGCGTATGTGTGTGTGTGTGTGTGTGTGTGTGTGTGTGTGTGTGTGTATGTGTGAGTGTGTATATGTGTGTGGGTGTATATGTGTGTGTGTATGTGTGAGCGTGTATATGTGTGTGGGTGTATATGTGTGTGTGTATGTGTGTGGGTGTATATGTGTGTGTGTATGTGTGAGCGTGTATATGTGTGTGGGTGTATATGTGTGTGTGTATGTGTGAGCGTGTATATGTGTGTGTGTGTATCCCCATAAAGCTGTAAGACCAATTTTTACCAGTATCTCTCTTAATTTCCCACATTAAACAACACAAAAAGATAAAAGTGTGTGTGTGTGTGTGTGTGTGTGTGTGTGTGTGTGTGTGTGTGTGTGTGTGTGTGTACCTCAAGGTCGGAGTCAGGCGGGGGGGAGGGGTTGTTGTTCCTTCTCCCCCGACCACGTGACTTTCCATCCGAGGCCCGGCGCAATCGATCGGAATCTGAATCTTTAATGGGGGTTGATGGACTGTGGATGGTGCTGTACTCGACTGAGGGAGGAAGAGAGAATAAGAACAGATGATATGTTGTTCTGCTTTTAGCCAAGAAGTGGAGAAAGAGGGACCATTTGTCTTGATGCAGGACAGACAGACGGCATCCTGGGACATTTTGTAGACATTATGCAGGCCTACAGGTATCATTAATCACATACTAAAAGCTCCACGATGATTTGATAAACAGGAAGTTATGGACTGCATGTCAGGTAGAAATAGGAAAGATGTCAGTCATGTCAATTGAAGGAAATTAGCCGGATGTCTTCGGTGTTGATTGATGACAGTTTGACAGACTTTTAAAGACATAATAAGTTCGATCACCAGATGATGCATTTATGTCACATGGCATTATGGGAAACTGCACATCTGATATAGTTTTCTATAGTTGTGTTTCCTTGTTTGCAAAGCTGCTGTACACACACTGTGTTTGAAGAAACGTGGGATGTCACTTTCGCTAAATTGAGCATTTCATTATTGCTTGGTTTTAACAATACATGCAAAATGACTTGATTGCATGTGAGTTTTAGCGCTGCTGTCACTCAAGGATGTACACATTTGAATGTTTGTGTGATGGTTCTTTCCAATCTCCTTATCATGACATTAATACAAATACATATTGTGCATCCCTACCGTGAATTAACACCACTGGTTAAAGCATTTCATACCTATATATTGTGCAATTTTTGGCCTTTAGCTCATGTTGTTGGTCAGTTTCTGTAACTTCCACAACTGTTTTAAATTTCAAGGAAAAAATACCAAATGACATGTTCATCGATTAACCTCAGACTGACATGGGCAACTTGTCATACATGTAAAGCGTCTTTGAATATTTGAACATATGATAGCTATGTGATTAACATGATGATTCAGCCTCTACGGAGAGAGACATATGACAAGCATGATCATTTCTGACGTGGAGCTAATCTGAAGTAAACATTGAATACTGCTTTCTATTCCTCCATCTTGTGACTGTGGAATATTGGATATCAGCATGTGAAGGACACTGTTCAGGAACTAGTTGATGCTCTGTATGTGATGACTACTTCCATTCTGGAGAGGATCACAGATACATGGATCCTGAGATTGAAGTTTAAGCCGGGGACCAGGGATTATTAACAATTTAGCGATTTTGAGAAAAAGTCAAAATGTTGCGATTTTGAGAAAAAGTCAGAATTTTGAGAAAAAGTCCAAATGTTGCGATTTTGAGAAAAAGTCGGAATTTTTAGAAAAAGTCAAAATGTTGCGGTTTTTAGAAAAAGTCAAAATGTTGCGGTTTTTAGAAAAAGTCAAAATGTTGAGATTAAGTCAAAATGTTGAGATTTTGAGAAAAAGTCGAAATTTTGAGATTTTGAGAAGAAGTCAAAAAAAAAATGAAAAAGTAGAAATTTTGAGATTTTGAGAAAAAGTCGAAATTTTGAGAAATACCGGTAGTTGGAATTTTTTGAAAAAAATTGAAATTTTTGAGATTTTGTGAAAAAGTCAGGATTTGGAGAAAAAGCCATATTTTTGAGATTTGGAGAAAAAGTAAGAATTTTTGTGATTTTGAGAAAAAGTCAGAATTTGGAGGAAACGTCGGAAATGTGAGATTTTGAGAAGCAGTCAGAATGTTGAGATTTTCTGAAAAAAGCCAACATTGTGAGAAAAGATTCAGTATTTAGAACTGGTATTCCTGCATCTTACACGGATCCTGATATTGAAGCTCAAGCCGGTGACGAGTGGAATTTTTCTAACAGTTCCCCTTACATGCTTTTATTCTGATGCATTAGTGATATCTCTGTCTCCTCCTCAGGAGGAACAGGAGAGGCCTTTTGCTCTCGGTACGCAGTTTGTCTTACTCAGAACTCTTGGTAAGTTATTTCCACAGCATGATTATAGACACCAGAACCAACCTGCGTTATTTCCTCACCTGCAGGGTTCTCTGGGATGGGCTGGCTGGAGACAGTGCTGGGGGGCTCCTGCAGGGTGTAGGTGGTGGTGGTGGGGGTGGTGGGGCTCGTGTTGTTACTCGTCATATAGGGCGAAGTGTACGGAGAACTGTTGTAATACTGAGCGTACTGACCCTGACCGAAGGCTGGGTAGCTGGCGTAGTCCTGAGGAGAGAACAAAGTCAGAATCAAAATCAACCTTATTTTCAATCTTTCAGTTTGTTTTTCAGAAGATTCAAGGATTGTCATTTGTGCATAGCTACACTGTAGCTATGCACAAATGACAAGAATCTTCTCTTCATCTCTTCATCGTCACAAATGAAAATCTGAGGTCACGGGCTCCTCCATCAGTGCAACACAATAACATAAAATAGTGCAAGTAAATACACATAAAATAGATCAGACATAGTGCAGAATAGTCTATATACAGTAATTGGAAAATGTATATATATAAGTTGCAAACTTTGTTCTTTCAAAAGTGCAGGTGTTTAACAGTCTTATGGCCTGTGGGATGAAACTGTCCCTTAGTCTGTGTGTGTCGTGTCAAATGTTTATATAATCATTTAAATATATATTATGTCTTATACTCTGATTGAATACTCTGAGTCCTGAGCAGAGATCAAAGTCAAAGTCAACCTTATTTAAAATCTAGAAACTAACATTATTTAAAAGACAAACATTGATTTGCATTTAACTGTGGGAAGTAAGTATTTGATCCCCTTGCAAAACATATCTTGGTGATAGCTATTCATCCTTTAACCCCGCACGCCTGTTGATTGTCGTGTCAAATGTTCATATAATCATTTAAACAATACATATATATTATGTATTGTACTCTGAATGACTTTTACTCTTTTAAATAGTATTTTTAATCCTATATGTGTTTAACAGAGACATGTGTTGAGGATTTAGATTTCAGGAAGGGCAAAAGGTGGATTTGCAAATGGTTAAGAACTGGAGGGTTTAATGGTTTAATGGTGGGGTGTTTCGATGAAGCCTAAGAGAGGGTGGGACCAGTTGGATATTCTCTCTATGTAGTGTGACTGTGAGCTGTGTTCAGGCCATGCTATCCTATGAGGAT